GGTTTTGTCATTATATTTATCTAATAATGGAAAAGAGATATTTTATATAATTATTTTTGAATTTAAAAAGAGGGTAGAATTTTTTTTTTGAATGAATTACAATTTAAGGAAGAAAAATGTTAGGTTCTCTTTGTATTTTGATGATGGTTTAAAACCATGATTCAAAAGAATTTAATCTATTTTTGTACTAAGTGTGCAGGAAATTTAATTCAACGATTCTAATTTTTCCCCACGATTAGAATTGAATCATATCTTCCTTGTTCAAAATTCTGCGTTCGAATCAATTATATTTGGTTCGAACCAATCCCGAACTTTTTTTTTTCCAAAAATGATTCGAACCAATGTTTCTGGCTTCGAAGCAAAAATTCTAAAAGGTTAAATTTTGACAGCTCAACTATCTGTTTATTTCTTAATAGGTCATAGGGTATCTAAATGTCTTAGCACTTTTCAAGACAAGTTAGAAGAATAAGGTGGAACCTAATTGGGGCAATTGTGAGGTGGCTTTGAAAGGCTAAAAGGGCTTTAATTGCAAGGCTCCCAACCAACTATTAAAAGGACATCAAATATCATATCTGAAGGATGAAGAAGGACGAACTGCTCCAGCAATACAGAAAAATAGGGTTTGTTTTTGAAAGTGTTCTGGATCTCCTTCTTCTTCTCTTCTTGTGAGCTTTTGGGTTAATTGTCTTACAAGGGTTTTGTATTCTTCTTGGATTGGGATAATCCTTGAAGGGGTTGAGTGAGTTGAGATTCACTTGTGAGGGTTTAATATTGCACCCGCAAGCAAGAGTTTGTTCCGGTTTAATTTTGCACCCGTAAGCAAGAGATTTCTAGTGGATTGAACTCTCGAGTAAAGAGGCTTGAGGAGTGAACGTACTCCGAGTTGGATGAACTACTATAAATCACGGCTTGATATTCTTTTCCCTTTCTTTTTATTTTTCTGCACTTTATTCGCAAGATTGCAGTTGATCTTTATTTTATTTTGCACAACAAATTATACATATATATTGAAAACTTCATTCACATTTTTATAAAAGAAAAAAAATGAGTTTTATATCTTAAGAATTTAGGGGTAGCTAGCTGGAATTATAAAGAATTCGTATCCAACTGTAAGGTCGGGAAAGTGCATATTATGAAGAGATGATAAACATTGAATCATGAAATTCAGATGCAAAATGAGAGTAGATTTAAGTTTTAAAAAAAGTAATCTAACATATAGGAAATGAGAAAAGAAAAAAAAAAGAGGAGCTTAAGATGATAAATAGGGGGGAAAAACATGATAAGCTCTCGTTTAGATTTAATTGAAAGGCACATCAATGTCGAAAAGTTAAGAATGCCATATGGAGTAATGATGGCGACTTTAGGCTAAAAGGGAAATGTAATCTAGCCACGGCTCATTCTATCAATGAAGAGCCGGCTCAATGGCACATGGTGGACCTGTACAATACAATATTAAATATAAAAATAATTTTTTTAACATGTATTAAATTAAAAATGTATTAATTATATATTTTTAATAATTCATATAAAAAATATA